ATTGTTTTTCTTCATGTATGGCTTAAATAAGATGTGTTTGAAACAAAATAGCTATATATAATAGCAATACCATATACTTCTCTTCCCACCTCCCCCAACAACAATCCTATGGCCACCGGGCATGCTCAGTTAGCATTGGGTTTATTTTTCCCCTCCCTCTTAGGGTTTTTCCCCCTATAAAGTATTTTGAAGCAAACTGGCATTTCTACTAGCCTTTTTGTGCCTCTTTTTTGTGGGTAGGTGGTATTATTCTGGCTGCTTATGGATTCCTTCATGAGCAATTGTATTGTACAGAGGAGAGAAAAAACAACCAATCACATAAAAACATGCAAAAGTGTTTTGAAAAAGTGGTTAGTAGTAGTAGTAGTAGTAATATTAAAAATAATAACAATTTAATGCTCAGTCGGTATAAGCAGCTTATTGCCAAATGCAGAATTGCTATAGCAAGGTCAAACGACAGCAAAAGATTGCTACAAAGATAGAATAGGTTGGAATGTGTAGAAATGATTGATATGGCCTACAAATATGAACTTGATGAACCAACCTGGACGCAGCATATTATTTGAGAACACAGAAATGCTTGACCACTCTAACAACTACCATGACACAGAGAAGCCATTGAAATCCACAAGCATGTGGACAATTTCAACAGAAAGGAGGAAACCATGAAAATGAACAAAATCTGGCTACCAGTATTTTTTTAAAAAAACCCTTTAAAATCATAACAGTCAATAAATAACAACAACCAAAAGCAAGGGAATTCCAGACAAGAAACAATCAGGGTCAGCTAATCACTTCCCAACAAAAGATTCGCCCAGGCAGTAAGAAACCAGCAAGGCCATTAAAAGCTAATCAAGGTGGCCAATTGAAACATTCACACCTAGCTCCAACAGACAAGAGTTCTTTCTTTCCCCCTGGACATTTCACAGATATATAAACCCCCTTTTCCTAGTTTCCAACAGATTTCACAACCTCTGAGGATGCCTGCCATGAATGCAGGCTAAATGTCAGAAGAGAATGCTTCTGGAATATGGCCATACAGCCCGGAAAACTTACAGCAACCCACTGATTCTGGCCATGAAAGCCTTTGACAATACATGTGAACTGTTTGTTAATACCAAATCTTGAAATCATCTTCCATTAGGATAAATTTAAGTAATAATGATGTCATATTTAATTATCATTCCCTACCCTATTAGTCATTCTGTGTACGCTACAACTTGTCCCTCTTGGTAGCTAGTGTGACTGATATCAATACGAGGTAAGTGTCTAGCGGGAGCTAGCATTTTTGCAATCCCAAAGTAAAGGTTGAGAAAGATTTGAGCAATTTTTTGCTGTTCTCTACAAATTTTAAAAAAGTATCTTCTGTTATTTTTTTTGTTCGTTCTCGATACTTCATTATTTTTTGTTTCCTTAAAAAAAGCATTACAAAGTGTAGCAGACTTTGAACATTTCCTATTAAAATGTCTTTAAAAATAAAAGCAAAATAACAGAATTATCTCTAGTTTAAAATAACTAAAATGTTACTTGCTGCACACAACTGGAGAGGGCTCCTGTAATGGTTGCATAGAAGAGGTATAGTGGTCTAAGTGTTGGACTAAGGCACTGGGAGGCAAGGGTGTGAACCGCCCAGTCAACCAATGGAAACTTACTGGTTGGCCTTGGCAAGAAAATCCTGAGATAGGTTCCCCACAGGGTCTCCATAAGCTGGGAATTATTTGAAAGCACATAACCACAAAGAAGAGGGAAATTCAGCAGGTCTTGGGTTGTTGTACGTTTTTTGGGCTATATGGCCATGTTCTAGAAGCATTCTCTCCTGGCATTTTGCCAGCATCTATAGCAGGCAACCTCTGAGGATGCCTGCCATAGGTGCAGGTGAAACATCAGGAGAGAATGCTTCTAGAACATGGTCATATAGCCTGAAAAACCTACGGGCCTGGCAATACTGGTTCCCACTCATTGGTTTGCTTTTGAAGTGTTACTACTCTGTTCTTTGTTGCTCTCCTCTCCAAAATGTGAGCTGATTACACAAGACAACAATCCTTATTCTTTCTAATAGTTCTTCGGGGTTTGCCTGGTAACTAGAAGTGTGAGCAATGCCCCGGAAGGAAACTAGAGAGGATGCAAAATAACAAAGGATGCATACTGGGGTTGGCAATTATTTTTTTCCCCAAAAGCTCAAGTTCTAATTTCACCAACATCTCAAGGAACCAGTTGGAGGGTGAAGGTTATGGAAGTCAAGGCAGACCAAATTGTATAGCAGAAGTCTGCAAAGCACAGCACAATTCTGTACATGATTACTCAGATGTAGTCCTAGTCCAATGTGTTGTTGAAGGCTTTCATGGCCAGAGTCACTGGGTTGTTGTGAGTTTTTCGGGCTGTATGGCCATGTTCCAGAAGCATTCTCTACTGACGTTTCATCTACATCTATGGCAGGCATCCTCAGAGGTTGCGAGGTCTGTTGGAAAGTAAGCAAGGGAGGTTTATATATCTCTGGAATGTCCAGGGTGGAAGAAAGAACTCTTGTCTGTTTGAAGCAAGTGTGGATGTTGCAATCGGCCATTGAAATCCACAAGCATGTGGACAATGTCAACAGAAAGGAGGAAACCATACAAATGAACAAAATCTGGCTACCAGTATTCAAAACCTCTAAAACCAGGACAGTAAATAAAAAACAACACTAAAAAGGGGGGAATTCAGGACAGCTAATACCTCCCAACAAAGGATTCCCTGGGGCAGGAAATAGCCAGGCTTTGAAGCTGCAAGGGCATTTAATGCTAATCAAGGTGGCAACTTGCTACATTCTATCTGAGGAAATGCTGTAAGTTGTCTCTCCATATTTGCAGCTTTGACTTTTGTGGTTTTGCTTTAAAATGTTCTCTCTATGAATGTATATGTCCCCCAGTGTTATTCTATGATCAATCCCCTCCAGTCATACCTCTCTAAACATCTCTAGATCCTCCAGTGTGATTCTATGATTCTAGTGGAAATTGGCTATAAAAGAAATATGGGAAGACCTATAAATCCCTAGAGAGGTAAAACATTTTTTTTATTTGTGGTTTTTATTTGTGGTTTTTCTCTCTCATGGAGGTCCTATGCTCCTAAGACCAGCAAATTTGGAGAGTTGTCTGTAGTTTCCCCCCCATCCCAACAAGGAACTAGAACATTCAGGAGTCTTATGAGTGCTCTTGTGATTTGTAGGATTGTCCATAAAACTTCGGGCCATTTTAATGGTCATGTTTAATTCTGAAACTTTTGGCCTGTACAACTTGGTGTGTCAGTGGTTGTTTAGAATTCAATCCCTCTGTTTTTCAGGTGACATCTTACCCTTATTCTATCAAACTCATTGAATTGGGCTGTTTGAGTATAACTTTCTGTTGGACGTGGTAGGACTTGCTCACAAATAAACGTGTTCAGAATGTATTTATAAAGTGCCAAGTTTTGTTATTATATGGAATTTAAATATTTTTTAAGCTTCCTGGCTTCAGTCTTATAGTAAATTGCCTTGGGCAGGATATAAAGTGAATGAAAGAATTAACAAACACAAGAAGGAGGAACAGGGAAGGAAAACAAACTAAGAGACACTAATTCTTTTATAGTTAGGCTTTCAGAGCTAAGATGGTAGATAGGTTCCCTTGAAATAGTCACTTCTGGGAAGGGAGAGGAGGAATTCTGATCCCCAAAAGTAACTTTTTCTGGCTGTACATTCAAGCAAATGTTTACCTGTGTTCAGCAAGTGATTTGCCATTCAACTTGCAGCAAGCTCCCTCAAAGTGTAAGTGAGCTTTTCTTTTGAAAAGTGCAGAAATCCTCACCCCTGAAGAGTTACACAATGTTATACAATATTTGCAGAAGAAAGTTGCCCCCACAACCCTAAAGGCAACAAAAGAAAACTGCTCCCTCCTTTCTTTGCCCAGTATTATTCTGAACATATTTTAATGCATATAGAGATGCATTAAATTAGTGAAATGAAAATGTGAGTGCTGGTGTGATGCTTCTGTTCCAGGCAAGTTGCTGGAGGATTGCTGATCTAAGAATGGTGTTTCCTTCATTCTTGAATAATAGTTTTAAATGACTTTGAATTAGAGATGGAAAGAACACTTACAAAGAAAACCCCACATTATCTGAGTGTGGATTCAGATAACCCAGTTCAAAGCGGATATTGTGGGATTTTCTGCCTTGGTATTCTGGGACATAGGGCTGTGTGGTAGGGCCCTATGAGAGCTTATCTCAACACAATAATGTGCTTTGCTGAGAAAATGGTTACCCATTGTGATACTGTATGGCAAATCCCAGGAGTTCAGTTGTGTATGAGAAGTTGTATTCAGATCCATAGATATATATTTTTCAAGCTAAAGTGTGATGTCTTCACTGTGGCACATTATTATCTTGCATCTGATGGGCTTCAGAGTTCCAGTAAAATTGTAGGTGAGATAATGTGGCATGTCTCATTAAGAGCCACATCCACAGTTTTAACATGGTACTCTCTCATGACACTGCTTTACCACTATAGTTACTGGGGCTCATAGTAAAAACTGAAAAGGTATATTGATTGTCCACAAGGCACTCCATTAACTGAAAACAAATGTATATGTATAGTATGCAGGTTCTCTTGGATCTATTTAATCTACATTTCCCAGGCTGTACATGGGGCAGATTTAGCTCCCACAATTTTTAAAATAATGCATTCTTTTGAGAATTGGATCTTGTTTGCTTTAAAATTGTTTTATTTGTCCACATCTAACAACATATAACATCTCTAGGTTGGCATATGTTTCTTGGTTCTCCAACATGACTCTATGGTAACCTAAAGTCCTTCATTTTAATGGGGTTTGCTGTTTTCCATAGTTCTGTGTATCAGTGTGAAGTCTGCGAACATATCACCCTCATACACAGGGATTGTACTGTGTTGGTATTTGTATTTCCTGCTCTGAAACCTACTACACAGAAATGGAATATCCATGGAAATAATACGCATTTCTGTGTTCTTTTCCCTCCAGCTGATGATCGGCCGCCTGTGGCCCGTGCTTGGATGGACATGAAAGTGCAGCCTAATGAGCCTGTGACACTGAAGGGTACAGAAAGCTTTGATGACAATGGAATTGTGAATTACGAATGGACGCGTCTTTCTGGTGATGAATCAGTGGTGATGGAGGTAAGACAGGACACACTTTAAGGCACAATCTCTTTATGCATGTCTCTACTAAAAGTAGTATCATCTGCAGTATCTTGTGTATATGTGAACAAGTTTTCTGCCCAAACATATATCACCCCTCCGTCCTTCACATGAACTTTGATCAAACTAAGAGATGTAATCAGTTTGTCTGAATCAGTTTCAGAAAAGGCTAGGATATGTCATCAAGAATTCTCTCAATCAAACAAAGATTAATTTTAAAAATGATTTCCTCTCTCTCAATTTAAGTAGCATATGAGAAAAACCAGGGATGGATTTGTGTCAGAAGAGGCCTACAAACTCACTTCTAGTGATGGACAGTAGTTTCTATGTTACTGGGATTGAGTCCATTCTGCAGCCAAATGTTTGTAAACTTGGGGATTGTATACTTAATGTTTTCCCTGCTTTGCATGATATTTGTCTGCGAATCTTTGGTAGAGTGAATCAACTTGACATTTGCTTCTTACTTTAGAATGAGCACACACCCTTTAAAATTGTTATTTTTCTTGGTGTTTCCTCTTTAGGGGTCTACAGCAAAAGAAGTTATATGGTCTATGTATAGTCTGATAGTTGTAGCAGTACCTAATTACTAAGATACATAGTGTCATTCTCTCTCCCCCCCTTTTAAAAAGAGTTCACAAATTCTGAAAATGCCCTTTTTTAGATGGTAAAGAAAAGTCTTAGCTGAATAAGATGGGTATAATTAGTGGTGGTTTGAATGTGTATGCCCATTTTTTCCAAATTACCGAATAATACAGTCATCCCTTCACATTTGTGGTTTTGACTTTTTGGAGATTTGATTATTCACAACTTTGATTTAAAATGCTTTCTTTGGAATCTCTAGGTCCTCCAGTGCATTTCTGTATTCCATTTTCAGCAGACGTTGATCAGAGTTGTGCTGGACAACCTAGAAAATCCTAGAAAATCTGAGGTTAAAAAAAATCAGTTTTCATTTTCTTGGAGGTCCTGTCTCCCTAATCCCAGTAAATGTGGAAGGCTGACTGTAACTCGTTTATTGAAGAATAAGCAAACCAGATGTTGAATACGAAAATGAAAGTACAGTAAAGGTCCAATCATAGAATCCTAGAGTTGGAAGAGACCTCGTGGGCCATCCAGTCCAACCCCCTGTCAAGAGGTAGGAAAATCTCTTTTAAAGCACCCCTAACAGAAGGCCATCCAATGCTGGAATCTGTAGCTTCAACTCAATATAGTGAAGATTTAGACTATAAACCTGTTATTTCCCATTTCTGCTCTGCTGACCCTATGTTACATTATTGGCTCAGGCAGATTTCTGTTTGACTGCTGCCAGAATGGAAGTTAGCTTCTTGAATGACAAATTGAATGTAAATGGAATGTAATCAAAATGGTATACAAGTTTGATTATGTAAGGCCTCACCCAGTTCAAAGTTAATTCTCTCTTTAAGTTTACATATATTAAATATGTGGTTTGGATACTTTATGTATGTTCTGAATACTTGGAACCAAGTAGGTTAATCCAGGTTAGGCAGATTCCAGTAATGGCTACAAGCCAATACAAAGAAAGGCAGGGCTTCAGAGACCTAATATGAATTATTAATCGTAGATCAGCACTTATGCAAATTCCATTGCTTCAGTGGAGATATCCTAGTTGGGACTAAGAACTGGTTTTAGGAGCAATATTCTGGCATTTAGTCTTTCAGCAATCTTTTGTTTTTGTGGAAGCAGTTGTTTCAACATCATAATGACTTGGTTAGATCATTATACATTTTCTAGCTTTAAAAAGATGGCAGTGAATATGTAATCTTTCATTATATGTTCATGGTTTTAACTTCATCAATTAAAAAATAAACTTGTATATATTTATACTTTTTACTGATGTCTTCAATAAGTTGTAAACTGTCTTGGTTCTCTGTTTTGGGAAAGAGGTGAGATATAAAAGAATAAAATAAATAAACATAAATAAATAAATACAGTTTGCATGTAGAAAGGTCCAGACTTAGTTCCTGCCATCTTCATAGAGCTCTCAGATATTTCATCTTCAGTAGAAAGGTCTGAGAGAGATCAATACTCTGCAGACTTGCTGCTAGACTGGAGTAGACAGAATTAGGCATGATAGAGCAAAGGTCCAACACCTATAAAAAGAGCTTAATATATTTTAAAAGAAAGTCTCTTGCATATAACAACAACAACAACAACAACTTTATTCTTGTATCCTGCCACCATCTCCCTGAAGGGACTCAGGGTGGCTTACACATGGCACAAGGTGCCTAAAAACAGAACGTAAAATAAAAACAATTTAAAATACAATTAAATAAAACATATAATCCTATAACCAACAACTGACACTCAATTAAAAAAACACTCGTTATCAGTGGGCAAGCTACTATAAGTGTGGCCAGGCTGTAAACGATCGAACTGGGAATGGGATAATATACTCATGTATAAGTTGAAAAGAATTTGATCCCCCTGCCCCACACACACACACAAAAGCATGGTTGACATAGAATCATAGAATCATAGAGTGGGAAGAGACCTCATCCAGTCCAACCCCCTGCCAAGAAGCAGGAATATTGCATTCAAATCACCCCCGACAGATGGCCATCCAGCCTCTGTTTAAAAGCTTCCAAAGAAAGAGCCTCCACCACACTTCGGGGAGTTCCACTGATGAACGGCTCTCACAGTCAGGAAGTTCTTCCTCATGTTCAGATGGAATCTCCTTTCTTGTAGTTTGAAGCCATTGTTCCGCGTCCTAGTCTCCCGGGCAGCAGAGAACAAGCTTGCTCCCTCCTCCCTGTGACTTCCCCTCACATATTTATACAGGTCGATGCTAAAATAGGGAGCAAGAGTGAAGGCAGTGATGAGAGGAAGTGGCAAGAAGAGCTCCCATCCCATTACTCCTCCCTTGTTCAAACCTTGTTCCCCTTCCCTCCTTTTTTTGGCATGAGTAGTATTTATCAGCAATGTTTTGGTGCTGCTTGAGGTGGACAGGAGCAACGGTAGCCATTTTAAAGAAGATCTTTTAAAAAAAAGGCAGTGGCCATTTTTAATAATGGCTTGCAAACTTTTGCAATAAGTGCAGAATGCTGAATGGAGATCAGAGGACAAGGGATCTCTTCACACAGGCTTATTTTTGGCAGTGACAGGTTTTTAGCAGTTTTGCTATGGAGACTGATGGCTCCCACCACACCTCGGAGAAGCCTTCCGGGGCAACTCTGTGGCGAAAAGCACAAACCCCCTGCTACCACTACATAATTGTGCACGATGGGATACTTTCCGTCTTTCCAATGGAAAAGATGGGTTGAGCTGTCATAAAGAGGCTTCCCCCCAATGTGATGCGGTGGATAAAAGCCGGGATGAAGCGGGGCATGGGGCGACAGGTACCCACACTGCCTGGGTGGGCGCTGCTGGAATTGTCATGATTTGTAGTGATACTAGGAAATTCTGACGGTGAATGTGAAGAAGTCCTAAGATGAGACAAAGGAAGACCAGTAAAAAGAAATTTACAATAATCAAAGTGGGAAATGGCCCAGGTATGAACTAAGATCATAGCAGAGGAAAGAGAAATAAAAGGTCAACATGATAAATAATATTCCATTTTCTTTATTTTTTGCTTTAAATAAAGTAAAGAGGAACATCCACTGGCTGGCGATGAAGCAACTTCTAACTGTAGCCCAATATATTTGGAGAGAATCAGGATGGAGAATGTTGCATAGTAGACACTCCCACCTTCACAACAGTGTTCCTTTGCCCCATGATCAATTTTAACCATGAAACTTATATTGCTCCCCTTCCAATTCTTTTGACGACTTCCCATAATAGGAAGTTACATATTAATACCAAAAGGTTTTAGATGGATCTCTGTAGCTGCTATAAAGAGAGGAATTACATTTATTTGAAAGAACGCAAGGGATAGCTGAAGCACATCGTTTGTGCCATTATCTTCCATAGCGTTAGTTCCCTTTTGTTTTACATTTTGTATTTTCAGCCACAGAATGACCACATGGCACTCACCAATCTTCAGGAAGGAGTTTACGTCTTCCAGATGACTGTGAAAGATGCTTCTGGACAACAGGATTCAACAGACATCACTGTCACTGTCCTGAATCCTGAACAGACTATAGGTGGGTCATTCATAAAGGTGGGTCATTTCAGAGATGGAAACTAGAATTGATAACTTGATCTTTATTGATTTTATGGAATAAGATTGTATCTTGAGCAGGACCAGGGAAGTATGAGTAGAATTTATTGTTCTACAGCTCCAGAATCCCTCAGCCAACTATTCATGTTAACTGGAGGGTTTGGGGAATTGTTCAAAAAGGAAGCTTCAATGCTTTGGGGAAGACAGGCTTTACTATTACTACTACTACTAGTAATAGTAATAATAGAAATAAAAGTTGACACGATATGAGTATTTAAAGATTAAACTGCAAAGACTGTGGCACAAGCCAGTCAGGGTGGTCCCAGTGGTGATTGGCACAATGGGTGCAGTGCCTAAAGATCTTGGCCTGCACTTAAACACAATTGGTGCTGACAAAATTACCATCTGCCAGCTGCAGGCGACCTTACTGGGATCTGCATTCATTATTTGCTGATACATCACACAGTCCTAGACACTTGGGAAGTATCCGAGGTGTGATTCAATACAACAGCCAGCAGAGTGTCTGCTGTGGACTCATCTTGTTGTGTTTCAAATAATAATATTATTATAAAATGTTTATTTGTATAACTCCCTATCTCCCCAAGGGGACTTGGGGTGGTTTCCAGCATATAAGGCAAAACATTCAGTTGCCCCAAAAGAAAGCCATACAGATAAATTAAGATAAACATCATAAAACATAAAATCCTACTAAAACATACACAAAAAATTGTAAAAACTCAGTTTCATTTTAACTTCCATCAGACCCCTCCATCTATCAAAGTTTTGGTTTTGATTTACAAAGTTTTCACAGCTTGAATGCCGGTACCTTAAGGACTCTTTATGTCACACAAAACAAAAAAAGGGAAGGGGGAAGTCTCAGTCTTTAAAATGCACAGAACTGCTGGTGGACCTCTTTTTCTGTTGTTTTTTTTAAACCTTATACAACCTAGCACAAGCTTTAACATTAATCTTCCTATGCCTGATTCCATGAGATGTTAAGAGGATATAGACAAAATATGTCTTTTGGAGGGGGTCTCTCTATAATTTGTGGCGTAATGTAAAATAAAACTTGTGTAGTTCACATTTGATCAGACAACACACTGCCTTGCTAGAAAATATGCCATGAAAATGAACAATATAGAACAAGTAGTTTACTCTTCGTAGTTCAGAACAACATATGTACAATGTGATCAGTTGCATCAACTCACATAATGTCCTTTTATGAGAGATTTAAAATGGTCTTTCTTTGTCCATGCAGATAAACTCCTTCAACAGCTCATGAAGCAAGAATACACTCCAAACTCTGTTTCTCTCTGCTTCTCTCTCCTTTTCTCTGAACACCTGCATAGCTCAAGCCTGAACAAAACTGTAACAGTATTCAAAAGTCCCAGGCTCCCCAGGCATTGCCCAATCAATCAGCTTCATGCATCTTATTTTACAGTTGTCACACACACATTCACTAATTCCATGCAAGCTCCAACATAATTGACTGTGGAATATTCTCTCTAAAAATAATATTTTTTGAAACTCTATTGGTATCTGGAGAAGACTATTTATTTTCCTGGATTAGTTTTAATGGTCTTGTATTTACAGCTGTTATAATATTCACTCTTAGGCTAGAAGGGAAATGGCTTCTTGTGTATTAGATGTTTTTATAAATACCGTATATTCCGGCATATAAGACGACTGCGTGTATAAGACGACCCCCAACTTTTCCAGTTAAAATATAGAGTTTGGGATATATTTGCCGTATAAGACTATCCCTCTTCCAACGCACACCAAATTTTTTTTAAAGCATCAGATTTGATTTCAATATGGTAATTTTCCTATTACTGTACCTCCTTCTCTGCCTCTCGGATCTCACAAATGCACACCTGCACCGCTTCACTGCAGTCTTCAGGAGTGAGATCTGAGAGGCAGAGGAGGAGGTCAGACAGGTAAAAGAGGTGTGTTTGTCTGGGCCCAGAGCCACTCTATCTCGTTTTTCCATACCCCGGGCACCCTGGACGCCTGCAGCTTGCTCCGCCCTTCACTTACACCTTCCTGGTGAGGCGCCCCTTCACCTCACCATTGGGACCACATTAAGTCCACAAATCCTGATGAATGGATTTTCTTCTACCGTACTTGTACAGCGTCGCCCTTAATGCTTTCATACAGTCGCTGCGTACAGCAGAGACGCAGCCACTGCCATTTTTGAGCTCCCCCCACCATACGCGGAAACCACAGATTCTCCAATCCGATTGGAAGTTTCAGCACCCGCTCTATAAGACTACTCCCGTGTATAAGAGTACTCCCATATGTAAGACTACTCCAGCGTATAAGACTACTCCCGTGTATAAGACTACTCCTGTGCATAAGACTACTCCCGCGCATAAGACTATTCCTGCGTATAAGACTACTCTTGAGTATAAGACGAACCCTGACTTTTGAGAAGATTTTCTTGGGTTAAAACGTAGTCTTATACACCAGAATATATGGTACTCATTTTGCACATTTGTATAGTTTTGTTTTATGTTGGATTTTAAATGTTTGTATGTAAATTATTTCCAAATTCCTTTAGAAGTGAGACTGAAGTTTAAAAGGCTGACTGAACTATTTTTTCCACTCTGAAGCCAACTGATTTTGAAGCAGCTTTATGAGCAGTGTTTTCTCTGCCGTCTTGTGTATTGTGCAATCATGTACCATTTTTATTTTTTTATTTCCAGACCACTGTTTGGCTCCTTATAAGGTGGGTCGGTGTCGCGGTTCATTCCCTCGCTGGTATTACAATCCAGCAACCCAGGAGTGTCAGCAGTTCATCTTTGGGGGCTGCAGGGCTAACAAGAACAATTACCTGAGAGAGGAGGACTGTAAACTTGCTTGCAAGAATGTCCAAGGTGGGTATGTTGTTCAGAAAATAAATGTTCTGTTGGGCTTTAGAGAGTCATTTGAAGATACTTTGTCACTTGATAAGTAGAGTGAAATTTGGAAGAGTAACTACCAAGTGTTGACTTGAAGCACAAATTGCTGCTTTCTGAAAATGATGAGATTTATAATCCCTCACACAGTTTAGAACAGGCATAGGCGGACTTGGGCCCTCCAGGTGTTTTGGACTTCAACTCCCACCATTCCTAACTGCCTCAGCTTAAGCGGCTGAGGGGGAAAAGGAAGGGACTTGAGGCCGTTAGGAATGGTGGGAGTTGAAGTCCAAAACACCTGGAGGACCCAAGTTTGCCCATGCCTGGCTTTGAATGTTGCTTGCTTGTTTTTTTTAAAGAATAAGTTATGTTATCTGTTAATGACATGTTACTTTTTACGTTTCAAAAAATGCTTGCCTGGGTTCCTTTAATGTGGAGAGATTTTGAAAGTTGCAAGTAAACCTTATTTGTTACATCAAAATTGTCATAACAAAATGTCATATTATTTTTTGCAAACAATAATATTGATAACATTGTTACCCAAGCCGTAATGCATCACAAAGTGACATCATTATTAGTACTGTTTTATTTCCAAGCTAGTTCATGCCCTCCCTTCCCCCGGTGGCATAGCCGGTTAAACCACTTCGCTGCTGAACTTACTGACTGAAAGGTTGGTGGTTTGAATTTGGGGAGCGGGGTGAGCTCCCGCTGTTAGGCCCAGCTTCTGCTCACCTAGCAGTTCAAAAACATGCAAATATGAGTAGATCAATAGGTACCGCTTCTGCGGAAAGGTAATGGCACTTCCTTCAGTCATGCTGGCCACATGACCTAGGAGGTGTTTATGGACAACGCTGGCTCTTTGGCTCAGAAATGGAGAAGAACACCAGCCCCAAAGTCAGGCACAACTAGATCAATGTCAGGGGAAACCTTTGCTTTACTTTTTAGTTCACGGGCATGGAAAGGAATGGGGCATCTCTGCAGTTCCCATGAATCATAACCTCCATAGCTAATGGTAAGGAGTGTATGGAGTCCCATTCTAGCAGGACTTGGAAACTGAAGGATTCTCAGTCCTGCTTAGGTCCTGCATATCTGCAGGGCAGCAGAGTTAGGAACGGCTGAATCCGTAGAACCAAACAGGATGGTTTCCTGTTTCAATAATCTAGGGATAATATTTTGGGAAGTTATCTTAATAAACATTTTTAACTTCTGTGTCTCTACAGTTCTTCTAGTATAGGAATACAGGCTGAGTGTCCTCTGTCTGAAATATTCAGATCCAGCGGTCTTCCTTATTTTGGAATTTTTCTAGTTTTAGAATATTTGCATATACATACATAATGAGAGATCTAGGATCACAGAATAATGGAGTTGGAAGAGACCTCATGGGCCTTCCAGTCCAACCCCCTGCCAAGAAGCAGGAAAATCGCATTCAAAACACCCTCAACAGATGGCCATCCAGCCTCTATTTGAAAGCCTCCAAAGAAGGCGCCTCCACCACACTCCAGGGCAGAGAGTTCCACTGCTGAACAGCTCTCACAGTTAGGAAGTTATTCCTAATGTTCAGGTAGAATCTCCTTTCCTGTAGTTTGAAGCCATTGTTCTGCATCCAGGGCAGCAGAAAACTGGGACTCAAATCTAAATGCAAAAGTAATGTATGCTTCATTATATATCTTCTATGTATAGCCTGAAGGTAATATATTTTTAGTAATCGTGTGCATGAAACAAAGTGTGGATACACTGAAACACCAGAAGGCAAAGGTGTCACTTCTCAGTCACCCATCTGGACAATTTTGGATTTTGGAGTACCTTGGATTTTAGAATTCTGAATAAGGGGTACTGAAGATTCTATGTCTGCCTGTATTTTAATTTTTCTCTCAAAATGTATTGATTTTCCTAAATCAGAAACAATAATTGTAGAATGGAGATATGCAATGTAGTCTTACAATAGTCTCTCTTCTTTTCAGGTGCTATCGAAAAACGGCAAGAACCAGGTAGAAAATTCTGTAAATTTCTGTGGTCCTTTCTTCTCTCTTTTTCATTCCTTGCTTACTTGTGGCTTTTTAGTAAATCTTTCTGATTGGTCTCTTACTTTCTGTGTGCAGCATTGAAAAGAGACAACTTTCTTGGTTTTGGGAAGTACTTGGCTCTTCTCTGTGCTGCTTTTCTTGGTGCAGTCACTAATCTGCTGTTTGTGACCTATTACTCTGTCTTCTGCATCTCGAGAACAGTGATCCAAAAGAAAATCTCATCAAAAGATATTTTGCTTTTGCTGGTAACTAAAAGGATTAATCTATTTTCCTCATACAGTGTGCAAACAAAACTGCCGGCCCTTTGATTTCCAATGTAGTGAGGACTGCTGCATTGATGGCTTCCTGGAATGTGATGAAACAGCAGATTGCCGAGATGGATCAGACGAGAAGTTCTGTGATTCATGTAAGTAGATGAACATTTGTCTTAAAATGGGTCTGAGTTATGAGAAAAGTCCATAGACTTGTCACAGAATTGCCTGTTTTGCATGCAGAAAGTCACCAATTCTAGTATCTTTAGTAAAATGGATTGCAATGTCACAGTTATTGGCAAGTAGCACTGCTTTTTGTATCAGGAACAACTTGAGAAACTGCAAGGCACTTTTGGTGTGAGAGAATTGGCCATCTGCAAGGACATTGCCCAGGGGGCACCTGGATATTTTGATGTTTTACTAGCCATAGAATCATAGAATCATAGAGTTGGAAGAGACCTCATGGGCCATCCAGTCCAACCCCCTGCCAAGAAGCAGGAAAATTGCATTCAAAGCACCCCTGACAGATGGCCATCTAGCCTCTGTTTAAAAACCTCCAAAGAAGGAGCCTCCACCACACTCCGGGGCAGAGAGTTCCACTGATGAACAGTTCTCACAGTCAGGAAGTTCTTCCTAATGTTCAGATGGAATCTCCTTTCTTGTAGTTTGAAGCCATTGTTCCGCATCCTAGTCTCCAGGGAAGCAGAAAACAAGCTTGCTCCCTCCTCCCTGTGACTTCCTCTCACATATTTATACTGTGGGAGGCTTCTCTCATATCCCTGCATGGGGAGCTGGAGCTGACAGAGGGAGCTCATCTGCGCTCGCCCCGGATTCGAACCTCTGACCTGTCAGTCTTCAGTCCTGCTAGCTCAAGGGTTTAACCCAAGTAGCATTGCTGATCCCAGCAAACCATTCTTTGGGCAGCTAGCCTTAACTATAACCTAAGTCTTGTACTTGCACCTTACTACTTTTCTATCCAAAGTTTTAATTATCTAGTTGTAATTGCTCTTATCCTTTTGCTGCTTTTCACCTATGCACATTACTCATTAGACCTACTTTTAACTTGTGCACCAGACGGTCCTCCTACAATGAGACTTCAATTATACTATTGGTGGTTGTTCCTGATGCTTGTTTTATTGTTGTTATAATGTTGCTTACATTGTTTTTTCTATTGATTATTGCATTTTGGACATGTTATGTTTTAGCTGTCGACTAAGCTTGGCCCTATGTAAGTCGCCTCGAGTCCCTTCGGGGAGATGGAGGTGGGGTATAAAAATAAAGTTGTTGTTGTTATTATTATTATTGGTATTGAAAATGCACAGGACACTACTAAACTAGATGGAATAGTGGTTGCATAGCTGCATATATACCCTTGCATAGAGCTTGGAAAAGTTATTTGGGGAACAACATCCCCAAATACCCCAAGCCAATGGTTGTGCTGGTTGGAGAAATCTGGGAACTGTAGCCAAAAATAGTATTTTTTTTTTCAAACTTGAAGTCTTGACTAGTTGACTATAAAAGGAAAATGGGTGGAGGAGGTAAAGATAAGGGCTTAACAAAACGGCAATCAGCAATGATCTGGAGAAGACTTTATGTCAGCCAGGGAGCTGCCCACTTCCATAAAAACTCCTTGTAAAGCAAAAAACCTCAATTTTTCCTTGTTTCTTGCAGATATTCAAGGATTCAACAAATTACGCGGGATCAATGTTACTTCCAGCCAGGGTAGGTCACATATGAATTGGTAATATTTCAGAAAAAATATTATGAAGCAATGAAACTAATTATGTTTTTGAAACCAATTACTATAACTTCTAACAATGATTGACACAACAACAACAACAACAACAACAACAACATATTAATGGTCACTTTTTGCAGAACTGCATCTCCGCTTATATACCAGCTTGAGCACTGTGATCTGCGGGGGGGGGGGGGGGTTGTCCTGCTCTCGGTCCCACCTCTGTCTCAAGCACAGCTGGTGGGACCGAGAGAGGGGACCTCTGGAACTCCCTCAAAAAGCCCTCAAAACTGCCCACTCTCTCCTGGCCTTAAAAAAGCTGCTAAAATTACATCTGTGCATTCTGGCATATGGAGAGTAGGAAGATTAATACATCTTGACATATAACATCATCTAGATATACTAATTCCTGTCTAGAAACTGGAATTGATCTCAGCCTGTTAGTTATTGGCAGCCATTTTATTTCTTAATAGGTTTTAGTTGTTTAAATTCTTACTCTGTTTAAATTAATATTATGTGATTATGTCAGGATTGTCTCATTTTATTTTTGGTTTTTTTTTTTTGGTATTAAGTTTATAGTAATGGCTGTTCTATTTTCTGTGATGTGTCATGTTTTTAAGTAATTTGTCATATGTCTCTTTGGTGGCACTGAATGTTTGCCATATGTTATGGAATCCACCCTGAGTCCCTCCGGGAAGTTAGGGCAGTCTACAAATATCTTCTTCTTCTCCTCCTCCTCCTCCTCCTCCTCCTCCTCCTCCTCCTCCAACTCCAACTCCTCCTCCCTCCAACTCCTCCTCCTCTTCTTTTTCTTCTTATTTGAAACACAACAAGATGAGTCCACAGCAAACAAGATCACTCTGCTGTCTGTTGTATTGGATCACACGTCGGACACTTCCCAAGTGTCTAGGACTGTGTGATGTATCGGTGATTATTGTTGTTGTTATTATTATTATTATTGTGTCAGTCATTGTTAAAAGTTAAAGTAATTGGTTTTAAAAACATAATTAGTTTCATTGTTTCATAAAAGGCGAGGTTCACAAGCCTGCTTTAAAAAAATCAACTTTTACATCTCCTCAAATATACAACTAAGGTAACTGAAACTCAGTTCCAGTTTTATTTGAATGACATTATGCTCCTCAGATCAGATTTAAGGAGGATGGAGTATTTGCCCAGTCAAATGTTTGGTCAGTTGTCTTAGTTGTATATTTGAGAAGATGTAAAAGTTGGGTTTTTTTAAAAAAAAAAGCAGGCTCATGAACCACGCCTTTTATGAAGCAGTGAAACTAGTTATGTTTTTGAAATCAATTACTATAACTTTTGACAATGATGAGCAAGGTTTATCTTTATGTTAACTACTCTGTTCATTGGCTATCTTTGCTTATTTAAAACATTTTTAAGTGAAACAAATTAAATAGCAGCTACTTTTTAAAAGCGATTTTAAGTAATTGTTTAATTGATATGTTTTAACTATGTGATTTTGAATTATATATTGTTTTATTTTTATATTTATTCAGAGCATCAAATTGTGCCTTTGTTGTAAGCCTCCCTGAGTTCCCTTCGGGGTGAGATAAATAAATAAATATAACTTATTACTGTGCAAAATTAGTTGAAGGCCCATTTTTCAGGCTCCTTGAGATCTTTGTGGCTTCATGAAGTCTTTGCTTGTAGTCAGACAGGAGGTAACATTAACAGGAATTCCAACCATAATTTTCACTTCATGTATTCTCTTTTCGCAGCTCACTGTGTGGATATGCCAGAGACAGGATCGTGTGAAGACAGTATACTTCGTTGGTTTTACAACCCATTTACTGAAGCATGTGATCGTTTCACTTATGGAGGCTGTGATGGCAACAAGAATAACTTTGAAAATGAGGAGGCGTGTATGAAATCCTGTGAGGGTGTCACAAGTAAGTAAAACAGCTTTAAGTGAGGAATTGAACACAGTCTGCTCTCATTCTGAATTTATCGTCAAATGTAATTTATTAACACTTGGGAAATCAGAGAGATTTGCAAAATGTGGCTCATTGATCCAGGATCATGTATGTTTTTACCATCTGGGTAGGCTTTAAAATGGGTAAAAATGGTGTGATGGTTCTTACAGATGATGGGAAATTGTGTTCTCCACAATACTTCAGGGTGTGAGGTTAGTTTATGGTGGAGTTTCTCAAACTCCGCTCCTCCAGATGTTTTTGGACTTCAGCTCCCACTATTCCTAACAGCTGGTAAGCTGGCTGCGATTTCTGGGAACCAAAGTCCAAAATACCTGAAGGAGCAAAGTTTGAGAAACACTGGTTTAGGGGACACAGTGCTGACCATATGAATTACATATAAATCTCTGTTCCAGTGGAGGAAAATAACTAGGTAATTTTTCTTCTGCCTGAGACCATTGCCTCGTTCTTCTATGTAGAAGGCTTGCCCTGGGTTTAATAAATGATGATGCTGATTGCTTGTCTCCAGATTTCTTTAGGGGTTCCCATTTCTGTCAACAAGAAAGAGTCACGAGCTGAGCCAGGCTAGTGCTCCTATGTTCATCAACATTATGGGATCTTAATACAAAGGTAGACAAATGGTCTATGTAGCTAAATCCCATTGGCTTCTGGCTAGAGACAGGTTCTGAATTAGACTCCCCAGAACATCCCCTACCCAGAAATCCCAGCTTGAAAGCTTGGGTGATTTTAAGGGGTGGCACGCTTGCTAAAGTTCCTGTGAACCAATTTCTTCTCTTGGGTTTCAGCAATTGTATGTTAAATTGCTATGTAGCTTAGTCTCTGCCATAAAACATGTCATTTGCTCTTGAGTTCTTTAATTAGAAATGCCAGGACTGAAGCAGGGCACAAAGACACACAGTCCTTCTAAAATGAGATGGTGACAAACAAACACTCCTGTTTGGGTTAAAAGCAGTGTGCCATCTAGTCCAACCCCCTGCCAAGAAGCAGGACAATCGTGTTCAAAACACCCCAAACAGATGGCCATCCAGCCTCTGTTTAAAAGCCTCCATAGAAGGAGCCTTCCCCACACTCCGGGGTAGAGAGTTCCAAATAATAATAGCAATAGTAATAGTAATAGTAGTAGTAGTAATAATAATAATAATAATAATAATAATAATAATAATAATAATAATATAAACTTCATTTGAAAATACATCACACAGTCCTAGATGCTTGGAAAGTGTTCGACTTGTGATTTTGTGATACGAAATCCAGCATATAGATCTCATTTGCTGTGACATACTGTGCTTTTATGTCAATATAAACTTTATTTATAGACGGCCCTCTTTTAGAATGCTGGTTGCACCCTGCATATTAAAATGTTATTTCCATGTTTAAAAGGAAAACCCCTCTTTTTGTGGATAAAAGGACCAATAAAGGCAGTCCATGTCAAGGACTTGTGCCCTTGACATGCAAGCTTACTGCTGGACAATTCATGGATATGATTTCTCCATCTATGTGCTGAATTGGTACAACCCTAAGATGACAGTTATGACTCCCTTTTTTGGACTGATGCATTGGTGCTTGTATCACTAATGCTAAGAGATTTCAAGTACCCCGCCAACCATCTCCCCAAGGGGACTCGGGGTGGCTTACAAAGGAACAATCCCAAAAATTACAGATTAAAAACAGAGACACAATTAAAATCAATGAATAAAATAATAAAACAAACATAGTCATAATAACATCATAAAAAACAATATGACTGAGATAAAGGAACCATAGCTGAATTCAGGGTTAGAGTTAGGGTTAATAATGTATGATTCCATCTTTGAATTCTGAAGAAAACTGTGAGTCTCTTTAGGGTATGCTCTGACCACCACTTTCTTGAGTCATTTTGTGTTACCAGATTCTTTGGTAATATGAGGATGTCTCTTTGAGGAATCTTTCCACTTCAAAGAGTACTCATTCATGACTTTTGTCTTTTCATTTTCTCTCTCTCACAGAGGCTGATTTGATTGGCCGAAGATGGGGCAGCTATGAATATCGGCACTCAGGTTTAAGTATGTAACTGAAAAACCATTCTGTTGCCCTCTTTGGTTTCTCCCTTCTTGGCTTTTTATTTCTAAGATTCCTTTGTTTTTAGGAGAAAGGGATTTGGCTTTATAGAGAAGAATCGTGACACCCGTGCCTAAATGGAGTGAAGTATTTCTGTTCTTAACAAAATAGGAGTGGCAAAGCAGAGTTGAATGTTTTCCATTACTATAGACCATTTTTTAAAAAAAGAAATGCATTGTTCACATAGTTAAGTCTAATTACCTGTAATTCACCTGAGTATATAAGTACATAGAAATCAGATAGCAGTTTTCTCAATCAAACTTGAAATCAAAAGATATATTTTAAAAGCCAGCTTTATAATGTGTATTCTGAAGTTAACTTGTTTTAACCAAATAACCAAATATTAACCAAAGTTTGTTGGATTTGAATGAAATAGCAGGCAACAAATTGATTTCAATCAAGGTAACTGCTTCAAAAGGAAATGGCAATCATGCTTTATTGCTAGATAATATTTTCTGGTTCAGTAATTATTCCAGAATTTTTAGAATTCAAGTGACTAGATATGAAATTGAAAATGGTAATATAAATTCATTGAGGAAAATATTATATTCTCATATTAAATTACTCCTCTTAAGAGTTCTCTTTTGCTCTTCCCCATGATTTGAATTTTTTCACTCCTATGGGGGGGGGGGGGTCTGTAATCCAAATGCCAGCAAATGTAAATGTATTCTTTCAACAGCATTCCCTTGTATTTTGTTACTGAAGTTGCTGGTTTGCTTAAACTGTGATTATTTTCATCTCTCACAGGCTCTTTTGAAGTGGCAGTTGCCGTGCTCCTTTGTGTGTGCATCCTGATAGTACTGGCAATTATTAGCTATTTCTTCCTGAAGAATAGAAAATCGTACCGACGGCGACGCCAACCGACTACGGCAGCCAACTCCACCCTGTCTTCTGTTCTCTCCACTACAGAAGACACAGAGCATTTGGTCTACAACAGCACCACAAAGCCCATTTGATTCTGAAGAGCTGCCCTCCACAATTGGGAGTGGAGACAACTGTGTTAGTTTTGGTGATACAAGTCCTATCAGTTATCTTGGATTTGTGACAACTGTTGCAGAAGAGGAATGACAAGATTATTCTCTTCACCTTTCCCATTTTGAGCATATACTAATGACTGTTCATTGGTGTTTTTCTTAGTTTTTCAAAGGGAGGGGGAAATGATTCAAATATAAGGACTTGCTGTAGTTATTGAAGGAACCATGGTTTGATTTGGCATGGATTTTCCATTGTCCCACAAATCTAGTGAAGTCTACATTTCTTTCTTTGTTTTTGTCATATTAATGTTGGCTATTCCCATCTCATAAATCATGCCCAAATCTAAGTGATCTTAAATCTAAGGAATAAAGTGGTTCAAGCAAGTGATACCTTTTGAGTAGCTTTACCCATGTGAACTTGCACATGGCAGTCAGACATTCGATTGGCCACTGGAATGAGATTGTCCTAATTTTTCTAGTGCCTGTAGTGGCAAACTAATGCACCTTAAATATCAGTGAGCGGCTCACCTTAAATACCAAGCTTCTCAATTATGAAATAATGACACAGTGGAATAAATAGAGCATTTTATTATGATCACTGGGTTTAAATTTAGTTTTAACCCATGAAGCATTTTCACAAATGATTGGGAATTAGGATTTGCATCTGTTCTCTTCTCCATTGTTCTATTCCCCGGTCTACCTCTACCACCAAAATTGCCATTTCTGCTTTTGGAGTTAAATGAGTAGTAGTTTAGTGGCCTGAGTGTTGCATCTGTATGTATTTATTTTTAGAACCAAAATGTGACTGTAAAAATAATTATTCTATTATTTTCAGCTTTTCTATGAATGTACAGTGAATCTTGTAGAATTGTAACTTTTTCCCTGCCCTCTACTATGTAAAATCCAGTGTATCCTCTTATTAATGTAATGCTATATCAGAATTCCTCTTCAGAAGTCCGTTTTCAAAAGAGTTTCAGAAGGAAGGAGAATCTGAAGACCACAAAACTGTTTCTTTAGGAGCAATATAAGGGAAGTAAAAACCAAGCCCAAAATTAATGAGATTGAACTGAAAGAAGTATGGTTCCAGCTTCCCCATTATGATCAGTCCTCGATATTAGTACAAAGAAGCTGTGCCTGTAAGCATTTTTCTGTCTTGACGTTGCTGATCCCAGCCAAGCCACAGAAATCTCTTTTCCCCTGCCTACTATCTGGGTTTGATAGAGTCTTGTGGCTACTTGCTTCCAGCCTCTTCTACAAGTGTCCTGTTCACACAGGCAGAAACATATGATGGATGTAGGGGGTACTTCAGGCATGTGGTCGACCCATATGGAATTTATATTTATCAGATGTCTTAAGACGAAGCTTACACAAGGGTAGATCAAGTGCTGGTGCTCCATCAGAGTTCAGAAAATATATATTTCTGGACTGTAGTTCTCAGAATGCTCAGTGTGTCCAGTTGGCTGACAGATTCTGGAAATTATTCCAAAAAAAGCTTTTTTCTGAACACTGGGTGCTCCACACAATCCAGACACTTATTTTGTCCCCTCAGCCTACGCTTTCCTAGACTCATGTAGTAACTTCCAGGCTCTTATGGAAGGGTTCCTATGTGGCTGCTGAACTGTCTCGATGGCCACATGGATGCTTTTCTTGAGATTGGGAAGTTGCCCATTGCTAGCTTCTACCTGGAGCAGTGGCTGCTAGGGTACTATTTTCATTGCTGTCGGAGTTGTATGAATGGACTTTCCTTTAAATTATACTCTGAGTGATGGGCAAATTCTCATCTTGATGCACCTGAGAACTCAAATGATGCTTTTGAAACTGGACCAAAAACCAGTTGTCTGTAGAGAAACAGAGGGAAGGTTAAGCTCTGAAGTCAATGCAATGCCTTCTCTGAATGGAAATGTACATAGCTCTATCTGTTTTGGAAATTCTCTCCATTATGAAGGTGAGGGACAGAGCAGAAAATGCTTCTGTATTTCACCCTTTTGAGGTGGCTGTATGTGATTTTATTTTCTGTGTGCATGTGTATGTATATAAATAAGGATTTTTTACTTGGAATGTAAATCATTGCTGGCTGGGTTTAACAGTTTGCGAGTTCCAGACATATAAAGTGTGGAAACCAATGTGAACTCAAGAGAAGTGGCAAAATGGAGTGGGGAAGGTAATGATGGAATTTGCAACTGTACCTTTAAATTGTGCCTATAGCTGGCGGATTATGTTATATATCTTGTTTGTTTTTCCCTTCTGCCCTCTCCCCAACCTTCATTGCTCTCTGAGCCCACAAAGTCTAGATTTCTCTCCTTCAGTAAATTTTAATAAAATGTGTTCTTTGTATCTAACTTCCTTAAAAATTGGCTCTTTTTATGTTGATAATGGACAAAATAACTGTATTGTTAAGAGGAGAAATACTAGACAACTTCGTTAATGAATGGCAACCAATGATTCAATACCTTAATGTAAAGTTAAATTAAAAATGTATATAGAGGATCCTATAAGACTGTAGACAAGGAAGAAGTGGATGCAAAGTAAGAATCTATGATATCTTTTTATGTAATATTTAGATAGTAGACTGTGACCCCTTAATAGAAATATACTATGAGATAAAGGATTATAGAACATTAATAGATGGCGAGTATTGCACTGTATGCAACAAACACTTGCAAATGTATGTTTTCTTAAATAAAATTAAATAAAAAATGAAAAAAAAAATTAAAAAAAAATTGGCTCTTTTTTGTGACCCGGGACTCTGAGCAGCCTAAAAATAGTGAGGCAAATTGCTCACCATGGGGAAAGGAAGACCTTTCATAACAAAGGCGACTTCATTAGTCACACAGCAGTACAAATGGCAAATTCAGCATTGCTTAGGTAGCAATTAAGCTGGAGAGATACTGGTTGAAGATCATTTCTCTGCATTCAGACTCAAGGGCGTAGCCTGAAACCAGGTCTGCTAGATAGACTCGTTTGGAACAATGAGAAAACCCAACAAAATGTGCACTTCAACAGGATGTTGAATTATACTGAGCCAGACCATTGGTCCATCTAGCCCAGTACTGCCAATTCAGACTGGCTGAAAGTCTCTAGTCTTTTAGCAAGGATTTCCCCCACCGCCTATGTTTACCTTAAAATTCCTTATTCTGGTACCTTCCATCCAAGGAAAGTAGGCTTATCTTCTAAAATCGGATGAGAGTAGAGAAGGTATGATGATATAAATGGTCCAACGAGCAACAGCCAGGTTGCTAATGGGAGCGGCGCTCAGGGAGCACATGACTCCTCTGTTGCGCCAGCTCCACTGGCTGCCAATCTGCTACCGGGCACAATTCAAAGTGCTGGCTTTAGCATATAAAGCCCTAAACGGTTCCGGTCTGGCTTATCTATCCAAACATATCTCTCCTTATGAACCATCTAGGGCTTTAAGATCATGTGGGGACCCCTGCTCTCGATCCCGCCTTCCTCGCAGATGCATTTGGCAGGGACAAGAGACAGGTGGCCTCTTGGCTATGGAACGCCCTTCCCAGGGCTATAAGATCGGCTCCCTCCCTTCTAACATTCTGCAAAATAGTTAAGACCTGGCTCTTCAAGCAAGCTTTTACTACTGGAGCATAATTAGATGAAAACAAATATATGGAACAACCACTGATGCAATTGGACAACAATTTTAGTAAGGAGACACCAAGGATTTTGTTTTTACAGACATTGTTTCTTTTATATTACATTTTAAACGTTGAATTGTTTTTATAAATGTTTTAACTGTATTTTGATAATTGTTATGGCATCGAATCACTGCCGACACTGAACCACCTTGAGTCGCCTCTGGCTGAGAAAGGCGGTATACAAATGCAGTAAATAAATAACTGTGCTCATAACCTATGGCAATTATATATTTTATCATTCCTTCTGTGTATGTATGTGAATACGTATATTTTAGATTAAACAGGGCCCACTATTCTACTTATGAAGCACCATGTAAATAGATGATGCTGATAATAATAAGTATTATTTTTGTAGCAGTAGATCTGAGCAAAGCAGGGTTGTAATACACATTAGTACTTGGACGAGAGACACCAACAAATATTACTGGATGTAAGCTATATTTCAGAGGACGGAACTGGTATAATCACTTCTGAGTATTCTTTTGACTAAGAAAACCCTATGAAATTTATGGACATACTTATGGAAACAACATTCTTCATTGGTGTGGATCTGGACATAGTGAGGAACATTACAAAGAGTTACTGGATTCCCTCCAAGGGTGGAGTGGGAATAATACAACCCTCCAGATGCTGTTCAACATCTTTACTAATGACTTAGATGAAGGGTTAGAAGGCATGATCATCAAGTTTGCAGACGACACCAAATTGGGAGGGATAGCCAATACTCCAGAGGACAGGAGCAGGATTCAAAACGATCTTAACAGATTAGAAAGATGGGCCCAAACTAACAAAATGAAGTTCAACAGAGACAAATACAAGATACTCCTCTTAGGCGGAAAAAATGAAATGCCAAGATACAGAATGGCAGACGCATGGCTCGATATCAGTATGTGTGAAAAAGATCTGGGAGTCTTCATGGACAATAAGTTAAACACGAGCCAACAATGTGGTGCAGTGGCAAAAAAAGCCAATGGGATTTTGGCCTGCAAAATTAGGTGTATAGTGTCTAGATCCAGGGAAGCCATGCTATACCTCTATTCTGCCTTGGTCAGACCACACCTGGAATACTGTGTCCAGTTCTGGGCACCACAATTGAAAGATGTTGACAAGTGGGAATGTGTCCAGAGGAGGGCGACTAAAATGATCAAGGGGCTGGAGAACATGAGGAGCAGCTTAAAGAGCTGGGCATGTTTAACCTTCGGAAGAGAAGGCTGAGAGAAGACATGATGGCCATGTATAAATATGTGAGGGGAAGTCATAGGGAGGAGGGAACAAGCTTGTTTTCTGCTGCCCTGGAGACTAGGACATGGAACAATGGCTTCAAACTACAGGAAAGTAGATTCTACCTGAACATTAGGAAGAACTTCCTGACTACGAGACCTGTTCAGCAGTGGAACTCTCTGCCCTGGACTGTGGTGGAGGCCCTTCTTTGGAGGCTTTAAAGCAGAGGCTGGATGGCCATCTGTTGGGGTGCTTTGAATGCAATTTTCCTGCTTCCTGGCAGAGGAGTGGACTGGACGTCCCACGAAGTCTCTTTCAACCCTATAACTCTATGATTGTATGATTCTATCCTTGACTACAAGTTCTAGCACCCCTACCTGAGAAATACTGGGAGTTGTAGTATAATAAGCAAGACGGTTGCTTGATTCCCAACCCTGCTTGATAGCAATGACTATGAAGGTTAGAAAGTCCCGCCCCTGGAAGAATCTGGATAATATATCTTCAGGGAAAAGAGAACGTGCCAACAGGTATTAATGTCTCTATAAGATCAATGATAGTTGTACATTCTTTAGGGAAGCATATATTACAAATAGCTTGAGGACTCAAAAGAGGTACTTACAAGCAGGACCTGCAAGACACGGTTTTACTTCTGGCACACTGTTCAAAATGTCAGTGTTTTTCCAAAAATAAGTGGGGGGAAACTGCCCCCCCTTTTAGCTCAGGTATGACACTTGAAGACGAGTTCTGCTTTTTGCTCTAATTTTCCTCTAACAAGCGAGCATAGCTTTGTAAACAAAGGAAGGAATGAGATCATAGTACTCTTCCTAATGCTGCAAGGAACTGGACAAGCAAGACAGCTACACAGTATTTTTAACCTAAGACATGCATAGCTTTAGTGTTTCTTAAACCTATTTTTAGGGGGTAAAGACTGAAGACTTACATACTAGAAAGTTGTTTTTTGGACTAGGGCACATGGAATATGGTATGATAGGACTCTGCAAACCTCCTCCTTCCTGCAGTATATTACATAGCTTCAGAGCTTTTTTTTTCAGCTGGTTGTCCTCTCTGTATGATGCTGTAAATCACTGTGTCTTTGGGGGCATCAACACCAGTGAATTAATGAAGTTTGACACATTTTAACTCCCATGGCCCAATGCTATGGTTTGTGCAGAGAAGGCTAAATACTAGGCATGGGCAATTCATGGTTCTAAATACTTTTAAGGTACTTACAAAACTAGGGGGCACTGGAGCTTTTCTTCTATAGTGTTGCTAAAGTTCTGGTGGTGAAAATTTCAGAACTCTAACAAAACTTTCAAAATTTTGTTATAAATGGCAGCTCCTAATTGGTTCTGTCAAAAAAATTGCCAATAATGAAATAATAATGAAATTTTGAAAGTTTTGAAATTTTCACCATCAGAACTTTAGCAACACTATAGAAGCAAAGCACCAGTGCCCTCTAGTTTTCTAAGTACTTTAGAACCATTTAGAACCATGGATTGCCCATGCCTACTAAATATCTTGTAAAACTGCTACTCCCATTGCCACAATTCCATGGCATTGAGCCATGATAGTTACAGTAGTGTCAAATTGCATTCATTTTACAATGTAGGTACAGCCTTTGTCAGGAGTGTATTAAGAGACTCGACTCAGTCAAGGTAGATGCTCAAAACAGAGATGTCAAGCACGCTTGCAGAAGAGAACTGATAGTTTTAATGGTGAGGCATCTGTGAACTACATCTGAATATCTTTCACCTCGAATTAAAAATTGCTAGGAACAGTGACCCGGAAAAAGAATTCAAGACTAGTGTATGCGTATGGTAAGAGAGATGATGTAGTAGGTAGTGTGTTGTATGGATCCACACTCAAAGAAGAAACTACAAAGAGTCACACTCTTCCCAAGACATTTGGTGATGCTTGTAACACCAGTTCAGCCTGTTTAAAGAATGAGGTTCTCAGACAGATATTATTAGTCACATATATTAATATATTTAGCATCTTAAGGATTATAAATAACCTGTGAACAATAACTCACCATCTCATGTGAATCTAAACTAGAACTTTGTCATGCAACTGATGAAGTGCATGGTAGGTACAAAAATCTGAGTCTTAATAAATTGTGAACAAATTTGGTTTGTTTTTAAGGTGCCTCCAAATTCTTCATTGTTTTTGCTGCAACAGACTCTAGCAAAGGGCCACCCTTTGATAAGTGTTCACGAGTTTCTTTGTTGTGTTTTTTTCCTTCAAAACAGTGCATGTTACATTGATTGTTGCCCCACCATTAATCACAGTAGAGAATGAAAACAGGCTGTTATAGGAACAAAATCCTTATTGATAGGCCAGATAGCAGTCTGAAAAGCACATGAGGACAAGCCTATATATGGGTTGCTGTGAGTTTTCTGAGCTGTATGGTCATGTTCCAGAAGCAATTTCTCATGACATTTCGCCCACATCTATGGCAGGCATTTTCA